CGCCTGCTGCGCCATAGAGCTGACCCCACTGCTTCCTTTTTTTCCTTTTCTTTTCTTTCATGTTCATGTCTAGATAGGTCAAAACTGTAAAGTATTTTTAAATAAACTTTTTAAAAAGAATCAAATCTATCCGTCTTGGATTTTTCAAATATCGACACTGCCTAAAATGACAATACATGAACAATTTGTTTGATGTGAACACTGTCCCAGATCAGAAAGTCCGCATGCAGGGATGTTTGAACCACTACTGAAAATGCCCAGCTTATAGTTCAGCTCAGCTCTTGCTGTGGTTACTGCTGCTTCATGGAACATTCCTGATAGTGATTGTGCAAATGTGGAAGTTAGTAGGTGGTCATCTTTAATGATACTAGTGTGAAAAAGATGGAAAACAAATACAAATAAGGTATAATGTTGTTTACATGGGACTTTATTTTTTGTAACTAATTTGCTGATTGATCATCTGATTGATTGCTTCCTATGCATGTTTTATTTTCATTTATTCATCCACTTAATCCACATTCATTTTCTGTTCTTTTGTTTCTGTGGGCAACTATTCTCTTTGGGCAATTATTATAATATATTAAACCCATTATTTGTTTAGAAGATATATAATGTCACTTTTGTACATGTTATTTTTAATCCTGGAGTATTTTTTATTTTTAAAATAAATTTCTAATCACTTATTTTTTTTCTTTGTATTGATATAATTGCATTATGTGACACAGTTTTACAGGCACTGGGATTCCCCCCAACCCTCCCCCCATGGTGGATTCCTTCACATTGTTGCATTACCACAGTTCAAATTCAGTTGAGATCCTTTCATTGCAAGCATTTACCAAGCATAAAGTCCAGCATCTTATTGTCCAGATAAGTTCAACAGTTTCTTGGGGAGACCTTCTCTGGTCTGAAGGTAGAGCTGGCAGAATATCATCCCGATCAATTAAAAGCTCCGACATAACATCAGTAACAGTTGATAATGTTATGGAATTAATTGACATAGTATTGAATAACCAATATGTTAAAAAAAAATGCAAGTTCTGAACCACATCCTGTGACTTCTTCGTTGACATTTCAATTATTAGTTTATATACAACCAGGTTCTATACATCTTAAAATGGCCATAGATTATTATTCAGCTGTCTTGTGTCTATTTTAATTTTAGTATTTAGCAGTTTATAGCATTGAAGCATAATTTTGCTGAACCTGGCTGTTTTTCGGGTAGTCCAACTCTATAACTCTAACAAGACATATGTCAACAGTTTAGGTGCGCAGTTTTAGGAGGGGTGTGCAGAGAAATCTTAAATACCCTAATGAGGAGTAACTAATCTTTGTGTCCCACCCAGTGAGGTGTAAGTGCATTAACGCTGACTATTTCCTGTCTAAGCTTTCCTTGTTGTTCTCTGACTAGCTAGTCTATATTTTTTGCTTGTTTGTTTTGAGAGATTTTTGGAGTGATCCTGGTGGTCATTGTGACTATTCAGTTCTTAACATCAGTTCTTTCTGAGAGGGATATTTATTTCCTCCCTCTGTGCATATCATTTAAATCTCTATAAATAGATATGGCCTGGAGATGGGATCCTGTTTCCTACCTGTTTTAACCTGGCAAACATGTTGGGAGGGATCCCCCTCCTGGCGTTCACACCAGGCATGGTTGACTTCCTCTAGCCTCTTCCAAGAATTTGTTTCCGGGATCTTTTCTGTGCTTCTACTGTCCATTATCTCAGCCTGCTCACAACTTGCATACCCAATCAGAGCACTCCTGTTAGTAATAGCCAATCAGAGCACTCCTGTGGGTAATAGCCAATCAGAGGACTCCTGTGGATAACAGCCAATCAGAGGACTCCTGTGAGTAATGTGTGCTTAGCTTCACTACCTTCTGCCAGATCGCCCTACAGAACTATTACACTCATCTGCAGTCTCATTATAATATGGTTTCTTTTTTCTTCCTGCTATGAAAATCCTCATGAAATCCTCACATGGTAGAGAAGGAATAAGCCACAACGAAAAATGTATCACGAGCAACTCCCCATGGGAAGGCTAGGCACACAGGCCTTCCAGCCCAGTCAACGCACAGCATCGCCAGGTTCTCAGCCTTCACCCGTTAGATGATGTTTCATTAAATTCACTTCTCAATCACCAATGAATCTGGGCTTTTTCTTCACATGCCTGCCACACTTTGGGTTTCTTTCTCCTGAAAGATTGTCAAGATATTCCTAATTATTTTCTATTATAGTACAATTTTATTAATACTTAATGTAATGTAAATGTTGAACATAAATAAGGATGGTGAATTTTGTAGCAACTACCATACACAAGGAGCTAGCTAGAAAAATATTTGTGAAATAAATGAATGAAAGTAATCGTGCTTGTATTATATGTATAAGTAGCCAGTAGCCAATAAATAGATTTTGACTATTAACTGCAAATTTTTAATCCAAAAGATGTTTTCTATGTTATGGTAAATATTAAGCATATATCAAGAACATAGTATGGATATTTATATTATAAGGATTAAGACTAACTTTTGCTGGTTTGAGGAGCACATACAATTAAATAATCCCAAGAATTTAGAAATGTCGGCTTGAGAAATTGTTGTTGTTGACTGATTTTTTTTTAAGGTCTTACCTAACTCTTATCCCTTTTTTCGGTCTTTTAGCCTTTTTTTTTTGGTCTTTCGTAACTTAGTGAGTTTGAGATTTGAGTAATAAATCTATTACCACTGTTTCATAGATTATGATTTAGTTCTATCAAGCTTTTAGGATCGGTGCTCTGTATAATTCAATTATACTTTGTGTATTGTCAATAAAGCACTAAACATACATCTTGCTAGATTTAAATCCAGAGAAGTGTGAACGTTCCATCACGATATTAAATAATGTCATCTTCAGGTTGAAAATACTTAATTAAATGGCAAGTTATTAATCGGTTGAATTTCCACAAAGCATAATAATATCACATTAGCCTGCATTATAAAAAGTTCTAAGATCAACAACCCATCCATGTATTTCACATATGTCACTCAAATAACCTGATTTTTCCTCCTCCCAGTTTCCAAAGGCATCTTGTGAAATAAATGAACAATGACTTGGCATGGCAGTATTTGCTATACAAGAATCCTGTAGGATCTGTAACATATGACACAGTGGAGAACGTGTTATATTGAGCATCGAAGCAGTGGCTTTGCCTTTGGTGTCTTACCATGGGCACAGCTGCTTAATGGGGGACAGGGAATATCATTCAGGTGATAATCTCATGCTTAAACCCGGGCAATACACTACAATCTGAACAGATTTGCACCAATTTTAGTAACCATACTAAGCAGTTTTAAATCTAGCAACATTTTCCATTGAACTGATAATTATGAATTATAAATCATAAAATCATTCCCTTGTTTGGAGATATTAAAAATAAACAGGTAAACATACCAGGAAAAGCAGGAAATACATAATTATTTTCAATAGAATATTCATCTGTAGAAATTTGACTTCAATGTTTGAGTTATAACAGCATTAAAAGATTCCTTTCAATTCAAAATCATCTTTTCATAAATGTACCTTTATTCCTCACTGGGAAAACAAATGCTTTGCTTCTCTCTTTCAGTGTGCCATATTTTTGCCTTAGCAGTGTTTTCACTGTCATTTACGTAATTTTCTCCTTTTATGTATACAACAAGAGCGTGGGATTGTTGAAATAACCCTAAGGCCCCTCTGAAGATAACGTTTTCTTGGAGTAAGTTCTAGAAAGTCGTTCTTGCTTGTGTTACTGTGAGCCTTGCTATGGATTTCCGTAGTCATTTTGCTGTAGCTTACTGGCACTTCCTGTGACTGCGTTGATTCTGGGAATACACTTCCTGGTTTCTATCAGTCATGAAAACCTTGCATTACACAGTCGAGGCATGATTAGAATTTCCCAATGAAGTTATTAATGTGCAAAAGGGAATTTCACGTGCTCCTTTGCAAAGCCCATTAACAACCTCATTGTTCGAAATTCTGCGAGAGGGTGAATAAGCAATTCTGTTCTTTGATATAAATTCTATCCCATTTATGGCTTCCAGACATTTATAACGCATAAATTGATAACACTACACTGGATGGTTTTATCAAATTTGTATCCACCTCACATTGCAACATACAAATATTAAGATGATGTCACTCACACTTTCCTAAATTATTTTGTTCCGTATTATATAAACTGGATTAAAAAAAAACACAAATATCAACTGTTGGAATACTAATTATATGACTACTGTTCCTTTTTATAGGAAATGATCTAACTGGAAAGAAAAAATAAATAGGCTACGTAGGTTAGATCAGCTACATGATTTGGTTGCCAGTGTGAAATAAAAATATGATTTTCTTGTTCACATATTACTAAAAATTTCAAAATAACCATACATCAAGCCTTTTGAGCATACGATCGCCCACAGTTACTCCTATGGACACTCCCTCTGCCCTCCTCAGGGCTGTCTGGTATTCAGAGAAGCGAAAGATATGGTGTGCTCACCTGCTATAGCTGGGAAAATTCCAATGCACCATAATTTCTAGAGAGAAGTGTCGTAAGAAACACTCCTAACTGTACCATTCCGGAAGTCTGCCTTTCTCTATCCACTTGCTCCCTGTAGCAGAATCAAATTGGCAGATATTATTGCTTGATTTTCTGTCTCTCTCTCTCTCTTTAAACACCTGGCCTGAGCAATATATGTTCAATCAGGTTTCCTTTGTAGCAGTGTGAACAGAATGCATGTGTTTGATAATATTTAATAGGCTTTCAAAAGCACGGTTGTTCGTATTGTTTTAAATTGATCGTGTATGTTCAGGGAAATTGATGAGATAAAAATACATAATGGTTTGGTTTTCATGTTCCAGTGATGCGTGAACTACTGTCTTCCGAAATGGTGTGCTGAGTTGATCTTTCAGATGAAAACAAAATCATATATGCACTTGGGGCCAGAACTGCAGAGTATATGCCCGTTTGGTGTGATATCAAATTTGTCTTTTTAGGGATGCAAGTGCTGGAATGGAACGGAATTCCCTTAACTTCTAAAACATATGAAGAAGTGCAGAATATCATTAGTCAGCCGAGTGGGGAAGCAGAAATATGTGTAAGACTGTGAGTTTTTCCCCATCTTTCTGTTTCCATTTTTGGTTTTTTTTGTTTTTTGTTTTTTTTTGGCTACTCATGGCTCTTTTAATGTTTAATTCTTAAGGTGGAACCTTTACCAGTCAGCAAGATTCTCTGTCATTAGAAAATAGCATTATTACAAGTTTGACAGATTTCATGTTTCAGCATCAAAACCTACAGTGTAGAAAGAACTCAGCCGGTTTCGTTTTTGATGTGTCAATAGCCCTCCCCTTTCACGCCTTTATCGAAAATGAAAGTCTACTCTCGTTTAGAGCTCACGGATGTGTATAGTAATTCAAAATGAACTTCCATTTAATCCATAAAGATTTCACCTTAAATGATCGTTTTTATCAGCTCTGACTTCGAACAGCATTGCGAATCTATATCGGGTTGGAAGGGCGAGCACGCTTTGGGGTCGCTTTCCATCACTAACCACTTCTCATTGGCCGACTACCAAAAATTCAGGGTAGTTGGCAGACAAATACCTTTTGCGTCAAGCTCGCTCGATTTCCTTGTTGATGTTTTGGTTTTCATTTGTAGGGACCTAAATATGCTTTCAGATTCGGAAAATCCTCAGCATCTGGAACTGCACGAGCCACCGAAGGCTGGTAGGTGCCACTCTTCCGTAGTCTAGTTGACGTAGGGCACCAGCAGGGATATCTAGCCATAAACAGATACAGCAGTTTGTTATAAATCCATGTAACTATAAACAAAGCCCAAAGCGTTATGTTTATCGCATGATAACCATTTGCAGAAACAATAATTACGTATCTGAAATTTTTGCTCTATGACTTCACACTTTTCAATCCTTTAATCCTGGCAAAGCAGTCCATGAAAACATTCCTCTACGGCCTGATATAACTTTTTGATAACCCTTGCTTCCTTGGATCGTCACAAGGGTTAGCCTTTTGTTTGTGCCTCCTTAAAATAAATTCAACAAAACTTAATTCGTTCTTAGATAACGAAGATAGTGCACGTGTTTAAGAGATTAGTTATAAGACATAAAATAGGCACACATGTATTTCTTTATGTTTATATTCAAATATTTTAAAACTGCTTTACAACATGCAAGTTATTTGCATGTGCAAATGCAAATATTCGCTCTCAAAATTTGAGCAGGATAAGTGGAGCATTCAAATTCAGTTCTAGTAGATGTCATTCATGCAATTCTCTATATAAAGAAAACTTGAAAATATTTTTCCTGAAGAAAGGATAAGAAGAGTTTTCTCTATAATTCTACATTATGTCATTCTTCCTTGAACTTTCTAGACTTCCCTAGAAATGCATGTCTTATGTTGCAATTGCATTTATTTAATTTTTTAAAAATTATATGATACAATTCCATGGGCTCTGGGATTTTCTTTACCACCTCCTCAAAATCTCTCCCTCCCCCCCTACTGATTTCCCTTCTATTACTACAATAGTCTAATCCTTAATAAGCAGTCATAAATCCATCATTCTGCTACGTAAGTGTATCGTTATTTGATTCTTAAAGTTAGCTGATTTTATAAGCTCTGTCACCTGACCAAGTTCCTTGACATTCAGTACTAATGCAACAGAGACTTCTGTCAAACCAATTCGTGTTGTTGCAGTGGACAAAACGAAATCCCCAGGGGTTGATCCTAAGCAGTTAGCAGCCGAGCTGCAGAAGGTCTCGCTCCAGCAGTCACCACTGGTTGTATCCTCAGTCGCTGAAAAAGGATCTCACGTTCATTCGTGTCCTACATCCGCGGGATCCAGTTCCGTGCCTAGCCCTGGGCAGCCAGGGTCGCCATCTGTGAACAAAAAGAAGCATGGCAGTAGCAAGGTAAGCATTGCCAGGGTTCACTTGGCTCTGAGAAAGGCTTCTTTTCTAGCTCCTTGTCTGAAAGGAAACATCCCCATTATTCTGATTGGTGCCTCTTGTAATGTCTTATTTAAGAATGATGTATCAAAACAACAAAAAAAAAGAGTGTTACTTCTTCTGAGTGTAACAACAGATGAAGAAGTAACAAGATGCTTTATCTCAGTATCTCAAAATGTTTCCATGGTACTTATTATGAGGAATTTGAAAATGTGTGTGATACTTCATGTTTTCTCTCTTTTAAAAAAGACCTATATATTTATTTGAAATGCAGAATTTCAGAGAGAAGAAGTGGTTGAGAGTGACTGAGTTTCCTTTCATATCCTGGGTCCCTCCCCATTTAGCCACAGCATCCTGGACTGGGTTAGTCCAAAGCCTGGAACTCCATCCACAACGTCTCTCTTGTGGGCATAGAAACGGAAAGATTTGAGCTGTCTTCTGCTACTTTCCCAGATGTCTTTGCAGAGAGCTGGATGAGGGTTGAGCAGCCAGGACCCAAGTGGGCAGCCCATCGGGGATGTTGGCTTTGCCGAGTCTACAACTTGACCTGCGAAGCCCCAATGTCAGACCCTTCTGGTTCGTTGTTACATGAATCTGAGCTTCTTTGCATTGGGAAAATTGTTTCCCCATTTTTTTTTGAAAACAAAAGACAGACACTACATTAGAATTCATCAGCATGCCAGTAAAAAAATTGCATAAAAGGTGTTCAGGACAGCGAAAAGCAGGGAAACGCAGTAGCAAGTGCTCACCCCACTGAAAGCCATACCCCGATTCCACCTGTGGATGCACATCCTCCTTTGGGAAAAATAGTTCCCGTGTCATTCTTTTACAGTTGCTAGGAAACTAATAGAATTAATTACCTTAGTAAAAACAACTGAAAATATAGATAAACTGTAATTTTTCCATCTCATGTTTAATTCTTAAAAGGCAAATTATCCTTTTGATCACCAAAGATGTGGAAAATATCCTTATTTTAAATAGAAATAAATAAAAGTTTGTGTTTTTGTGTTAAAATGTATGAGAAGAACAGACTGTACCTGAGTAAAATTACCAGACACCACAAAGTATGCATTACTAAATATAATAATATGGTGTATGCTGCCACAACCCCTTATTATTTAGAAGTAAGTGGCAAATAAAGATTCATCTTAACCGTTGCATCATAAAATGACTTATTTCAAACTAGACAGCACAGTTGTGCTAATAATTTCAAGAAATCTGAGTTTCCAAATAAATTTGAGGGCACCTAAATTTAGAGGTTCTATCTGAATACCATTTAAAAATTGTATATTAACCGTCTAAAATAGCTACATAATTAATTAAAATACTATTAAAAATTAATATAAAATAGTCTGTATATTATCCACCTAAAATAGCTACATAATTAATTAAAATAGTTATTAAAAATTAATTTAAAATAGTATGTATATTATCCATCTAAAATAGCTACATAATTCTCCTATCTCTTTTTTTTACCAATTTCTATGTTATATTTGAAAGAATTCAGAGACAGTCAATTCTTAAGTTTAACATTGCTAGTTTGTGCGGCATTGTTTATATTTTTTATGTCCTCAGATTTTTTTTTCTTATGTGCAGTAATTTAACCACCACTTTTTAGGTAATATGATAGGACATAGGGCATCAGAGAAATATAGAATACCCAACTTCTAATGTAAAACTAAGAATTTTAAGACCCATCAGCATGTGATATGCATAAAAGACAGCATTTTCTTCCATTTGTTTCAGGGACCAAATGTTTCAAAAGTATATTGAGAGAAACCATTGTTTCATGTTTTAACAATGTTTTGACAATTGCAACTTAATGTCTTTGAGTTTCATAAGTCTTAAACTCATCTCAAAACATTTTCATCTTAGTGTCCAAAATATGACTTTTTGCAAATATACTATATTGAATAATGGAATTTTAGTCAACTTGAATTTTTAGCAAAATGCCTAGGAATGGGTGTTGAATGTAGAAGTAGAACCATTACATTTCAAATCAGAGCACCTGGGTTTGAAGCCCAGCTCCGCTCCCAAATTCAGCTTCCTGCTAACGGAGCCTTAAGAGCCAACAGATGATAATTCAAATATCTGGGTTCCTATCAGCAATCTTAGAGCGCTTGATTCAGCTCCTAGCTCCTGGATGTTTCTGGACTGAATAGCAGATGAAAAGCCTCTCTTACTGTCTGTCCAGCTCTTCCTCCAAAATAAAATAGATAACTACATTTTACAAATAAAACCAATGCATGCATTTAAACGGGATTGCTAGTAATTCAATATGGATTTTTTTTTTTAACGTGAAGGTGTTTCTATCACTTTCTTCAACAAAATTGTCTCCAAGTCTGACCATTCTTTTGCCCTTTATCTTTCTAATCTGAATAAGCTCGTGCAAGCTAATGTGTAAATAATTTTAATTTGTTTTTATATTCTTGTGGCACGAATTTACTGTTAATATCACAGTAATTTTTTTTTCCTGCCACCCTAGTTCCACATACCTGAGAGAATTGAATTGTTGAAATAGAATCTAACAATCCAGTAACTATTTCCTAACATTTTAATAGCCATTAGGAAAAATAATACACATAAATACATTCTTTTTCATTTTTTCTTAATGATTACACTTACCTATCAGTGGGTATGAGCGGGTGTCTGGTGGCCAATGAACAGTTTCCCAAACCATGGAATTAGATGCAGACTCAAAGTTCTCTTTACCAGTTCCACACCACTAACACCAACAGTGTTACAACAGTGCAACAGTGGTCCAACAAAGATACATTTCAAAGGAAGATAGTTGGCACTAATGTTAAAACGCAGCCACCTCAAACTGCTCATTTGCACATCTTGTGTCCAAGGAAAGTTGCTCTTTTATGCTGCGTAATTTAAAATATCTTACTGTGCACCTACCTGCACCCATGTGGGAGACCCAGAAGAGGCTCCTGGCTCCTGGTTTCCAATTGCTTTAGCTCCAAACCTTGCAGCCAGTTGAGGAGTGAAGCAGCAGATGAAAGATCATTCTGCCACTCCTTCTCTCTTTAAATCTTTTCTTAAACAAGAAATAAATAATTGAATAAATAAATGCAGTCACAGCTTCAAGTATAGTTTGTCTGTTGCTTTAATATATGTTGTTGGACATTACAGCCTGCTGATGCAACAAAAGTTGTTTCTCATCCAATAACGGGAGAAATTCAGGTAAGAGCATTTTTGAAAAATCAATACTGTGCCACGTGCTTTTGGTTGATTTTGCTACTAAGATATTGAAATTGTAAACACAACCTTGGGCTCTTTCCGTTTCTATGACATACAGAACCATAAAGAAAATATGCAAATTTGATAATAGCATATTGATGAGAAATACAGATTTTGTGAAAGTTGACAGGTATACAGTTTGACTGAAATCTGCCTGACACCTCGGCCATGTCAGTATGTTTTATGCTTCAGTTACTTTTTACCATGATACAAGATTCTCTTGAAATTGTTAAGACTTGTTAAGACTTTCTTAAGTTTATTCCTTTCCTTTTTTGCTTCTTGGATGAACAATTGCTAAAATAACTGCTAACCACTTTTGATCGTAGAAATATTTTTCATGCTGTGCTTCATAAGTAGCAGCTTGTAATTTAGAAAATCAATCTGAGAGATTTTGACCAGGAAAATACTATATAAAATGTCTCACTTTTTTTTTTTTCAAATCGTTTTTCTAATTTTTACTTTTTAAATTATTATCATCATTCTGTGATACATTTCCATATGCCCTGGGACTTCCCCCTGCCACTTCCTATGTCCCCTCCCCACTCCACTAAGTTCCCCGATGGTATTACTATAGCATAGTTCTTCATAAACAGTCACATGTCCATCATAGCGGGCATGGACAGTGGCAGAGCGTCCAGCCTCCCATTGTCAGGATTCAGCTAATAGTTTCATGAGCAGTTCATCTTCCATCTGGAAGAAGAGATGTACATTATACTATAGCCTCACATCTGGACATGACAGTCTCCATTACACAGCCACCTCACATCCTCCTTAAATGAAAAGCCACAATGCAAAATCAACATCAGGAAGAAAAATAGAAATTTACAACACCAAGAAGTTCTCAAAAGGTTTTGATAATACAACAGCCCTGAACTGCTGGCTATTCCACTACTCCAATCGTGATGAAATCTTCCCAGAATTCACTGGCTGCTATAGTCCACCTTAGAGTCTCCGTCTCTCAGATCTTCACTGCCAGTGCTTAGAGCAGTATATCAATTTGTTCTGTCCTCTGTCCACTGCCAATGTACCAGATGTCCTCTGGAGGCTCCAATGTACTGCCATATCCTCCATTTGGATATGCTGTCCGCTGCACCATCTGAGCCATTGAGGAGGCCCAGCTCTGACACATGCACTCCATGGTCAGACCACGGAATCCACAATTCTCTCTGTGGTTGGGATTCTGAGTCCAGTGGTTCAGTTGGTAGGGAATCACCAAAGAAACCTCATCTGAGGCCATCGCAGACCTAATTCTTGCATGTGTTTGCCAGTACAGGGTCCAGCACAGTCTGTCACCCAAATTAACCTGTGCATATACTTTTAGTTGCAATTGCTGGGTCAGTTCTGTTTCTAACACTGGGTTTTACACAACCCAATGGGTGTTGGAGCCCAGCCCAATCCTGCCCACTGCATACTGGGCCTTCACCCAAATCTGTGGGGGTGGCAGCCTAATTGGAATGACCCACAAAACCCCCACCAGGCACATCCATGCCCTGGTTTTTGTGCTTGACAGTCTGAACAGCAGACTCATCCCATTTGTTCTGCATCCTATTCAGCTCTCATACATGTTTGTGGGCATTGAAGCCCAGTTTCTCTCAACCGGCCCCACTATCCAGTCCACACTGGTGCCAACAGGTGCCACCATCTGTCTAGCCATGCCTGCACCTGACAGAATTTAGCCCCTGTGCCAGCATCTGCCAGCTGATCCTGCAGCAAAGCCCAACCCACCCACACTCACACTGGCTTATGCATGTACCAGAAGGTACAGTCAGCCCAGCCTTGCTTTTCCCTGAATCAGTCACATGCAGGCTCATCAGAAGTTGTGGCCCTGCCTGGCCTGGTCTGCCCCCATCCCAGCTCTCATGCTCACCAGTGGGAGCAGTGGTCTGGCAGGGGGACACCCGCAGCATCCCCCATTGAGCCAGTCCCCACCCCCTCCCCTGGGTTTCACTTGTGCTGGTTGGGTGCTGCAGCCCAGTCTGGCATACCCTGGCTGACCTTAGCATTTGCCAGTGGGTGCCAGGCCCACCCCCAATTCCAACTCAAGCTGGTGGGGGCTACAGTCTAACCCCACCCTGCCAGCCCGAAGTTCTGACCCTCATGTGGACTGGCTGGTATTGTGCCCTGACCCAGCCTGACCCACACACTCCATTCTGGCACTCAGATTCGCCAGCAGGTGATATGGACTGACCCAGCCTGGCCTGCTGCCCGACCTATGTATGTAAATCATATGTAAGCTGGTGGGTACTGTATTTTGGCCTAGTCTGGGCTGTTCCCCATCTTGGTTCTTACATTCACTTGCAGGGAGTGTGTCCCAACAGAGGAGTTCCCCAGGCTCCTCCATCCAGATCTCTCCCAATGCCAGATCTCACACACACTGGTAGGTCCTTGGGCCAGCCCTAATTAGTCCACCTCCTGTCCCATAGGATCAGTGACCTTTCCTGGCAGGCTCTCACCCATTCCAGTTCTTGTTGAGTGCTACAGCCCAGCCAAGCCTGGTCCGCACCCAGACATAGCTCACGCATGGTTCAACAGGTGCAGAGACCTAGCCTAGCCCAACCTACACCCACCCTGGTTCTCATGAACACCAGTGGGTGCTGTAGTCTAGCCCGGTCCGATGCATCCCAGACCCAGCCCAAAACATGCCAAGGGATCCTGCAGCCACATCCAGACCAGACCACGGCACCCACAATGGCCGTCACACTCACCAATGGGGGATCACACCCCATACAGGGCATCCTCTTTGCTCCCCAACCAGGTCTGTTCCCATCCACAGATCTTGCACCTGCCTGTGGTTGCTCTGAACTGGCCTGGCATAGCCCCTCATCTGTCTTAGCCTTTGCCTTTGGATGTTGCAAACTGGCCTGACCTAGCTAGCCCCCAGTCCCAGCTCTCTCTGGCAGGTGCTGCAACCTGGCCCTGCTCAGAATGCTTCTATTCCTTGCTCATGTAAACTAGTAGGTGTGATACTCTAGCCTGGCATGACCTGCACTCCAGTCTGGTTTCTGCACTGGCCAGTGAGCTAAGGTTTGCTTAACCCTGCCACATCCACCCGGTTCCAAAACCAACCCACACATTTGCCCAGCTTGCCCGACCGCTAGGTCTGGAACATGTACTCACTAGTGGGAGCTATAGGGGAGTGTCCCATGTTCCCGAACTCCACCCCATTCCCTGACCCAGATCTCACATGTGCCAACAGATGCTAAACCCTTACCTGGCATAGCCTGCCCTTACCTGGCATGGCCTTTGTATGGTGGATGTTGTGGGCTGGCCCGCCCCACACCCTGTTTTAGGATGCACATGTTGGTGCTGCAACTTGGACCTGCCCAACCTACTCTCAGCCCCAGTACCTGTCAGTGTTGGCGGGTTCCATGTCAAACCTAGATCAGCCCATCACCACCCCAAACTCTTGAGCTAAGCAGTGGGACTTGTATTTCCATAGGGTTTGGCCCACATATTCTACACAGAATCTATCCCAGGACCTGGTTCTCTCGTGTGCTGCTTAGTGTCATGGTCCTGCCTAATGTGACCTGTCCCCTGTTCCGACTCTCAGTCAGGTACTGGGATCTAGTTCTGCTAGACAGACCCACAGCTATAGCCTTCACGTGGTCTGGTGTGTGGTGGTCAGTGATGCTCTGTGCTAACAAGCCCATCTCAGGGCTCCCATGTGGTCTGGTGTATCAGTTTGACCCATACAGATTGTCCAATCTCTCCCCTCCATACCACCAAGTCTCAATCCCCTGACTTAGCAACAAGTGGCCCTGTTGTTAGGATTCGTTCTTCGCTTACAAGTATGGTGTCCTTTTCCATGGATGGCCCTGGGCAATAATTCGTCACCCTCTAGTCCCCAGAGCTCATCGGCTGGTGACCAGCGGGCAAAGCCTGGCACTTGATGGGCACACTGGCTGCATGAGTTAAGATGGTGCTGGCTGCTTTTTAAGCCCTTGGGGACGGGCCTCGTCCTCCACTCATGAGCGAAAAGTGGCAGAGGAAGCAGAGGTTCTAGTCCGCATGCCTGTCCCTGTCTCATTATCACTTTTAGTTGTGTGATTTCACATTTATATATTTTATTGTGACATAAAGTGTTTTTTTCTTAGTGTGGGATGTATTGAAAGATGTGAGAAAAAAAATGTGCCTTAAGGTATCAACAAAGAGTACCTTAGTGTAGATATGAAATGTTGCCTATGAAAACACAGTGTAAGTTAACTTTTTGAAAGTAGTTAGCTTTCCATCAGGAAAACAGGTATGTTAAGCTTTTCCCCTGTTATTTTTTAGAGGAAATTTTTACAAAAATGGTTCACAAAGGGGAAGAGAGATTTAAGCTAATTTAAGAATAAAGAGAGAATGTTTTAAGGAAGAAACGGTGCGAAGAATGATGCTGTAGTTTGCGATGTGAGGAATGAAGACAGCAACGTTGAGAAATACATTGAGACTCAGTTTATCATCCAGGTCGGCTAGTTATTCCATAATATAGCATGGCCAGAGAATCAGAGACTAACGAAAGAATAATGTAATAAAATTCGCTATGTCTGTGACTACAAAGGAATCCGTGACATGATTATCACAGTAGATACTGGTAATAGCAAAAGCCTGTTGTACATGTGGGAAAAGAGAAAAGTTGCAGAATGTGGCATTGTGCTAAGCAGGGATTGTCATGGTTGATGCTGAATACCTTCCAACTCCCGATCTTGTTGTGTCTCTGCTGTCTCCTGTTTGTAAAAAGCCTATTTTTCACCAGACTTAATCTTTATTTCTTTCTCAAGCACAAAGAGAATCTTTCTGATTCTTGATAGCTTTCTTCCATTTTTTTTTTAAATTTCTTCCTTTTGGACTGGTGTCCGTTGTATTTATTTTTGCTTGCTGTCAGTTTTCTCTACTTGAACAGTAAGGTTCAGTTTTATAGATAAGATTTACCTTAACCTATACGATATTTTCCTGAGGCTGCAATTTTAATTATTACAAGTTATTTTTCTTTTATCCAAATTTCATTCCAAATGTTGCGTATTTCCGTCATCCACACCACCGCGGTAACTCCTGGAAATTCCCACTTCTCAAAAGCAGTCCTTGTGCAAGTCCAGGTGTTTCCTTGGGCCACGCAGAGCCCAGTTAAAAAATACTTTATTATCAGTTAAAAAGAAACATTAAACCTGGCAGAGAATGCACAAGTATTTTTTTTCCCCCTTCCCTGAAGGATGTGGAAACTGTTGTAAACTTCAGGGAAATCAGTTGCGTATTTTGTCGCCATCTATACTTCACTACCCCTTTCTAACTTGGTTCCAAACTTTCCTTTCCCTTCCTCTTCTTGCAATGCTTTGTCCCTCCCACGGCTCTGCTGATGAACAGGGAGACTCAGGCCTTTTCAGTTGAGCTTCCTTTTCCGCTAGGAGACAGACACATGAAGTTTCGCTGAAGTGATTAAGTTTCAGTAAGCGTTTGACTCATCTAAGATCTGCTGTTTTGAGTGGAAACACAGAGTATCAGTATTTTATGTAAAAAGTTGGTATTTTGACGTATAGGTTTCCCCCTGTTGGAAATAGATTCTTCTAAAGCAATAATAAAAATAATCGAGCTTGTTCCAAATGATGCCTAACTGTCATTTCAACTGTGAAAGAGAAAAATTGGTAACAAGAACTTTTTTGGAGTATGTAGTCTTTTCAAGTATTTATTTGAACCTAAGTCTCTTATTCCTCAATAACATTTTTGCAACAGCCAGTAGGTTTCTATGAGGCAGTGAAACATTTTCCAGAGCTTCAAAGTTGAAGGACAGGATTTTACCTCCTAACCTTTCATTATATTAGAAATGCAGGCACAGAAGGAGAAGTTGTGGTTTTCATATCAGGTAATATAAAGTTCTAAAATGTGAAATCTATACTTTCTTCATTTCTGTTACTTCTATACATACAGCTTTATTTTAACTAGCTGTCCCACCCACTACTGCTCATTTGGCAAAATGCAAATGACACTGACGATTTTGCCAATTAGCCTATTTTATAAATCCTGGGAATTGTGATAATGCCCATTAACATCATTTACTATTTCTCCAAGCATGGAAATTTAGTTTAATACTGTATGTTTTGTCTTCTATTTGAACTTTCATTAGGCCAGGACTTTCCAACAGGGAAAGTTAATTGTGAAAAATTAACATATTCACTGAAAATTTCATTGTGCCCAGGAGCTGTCTATTAAATGAGACATGAATGGATTTGTTCAGCGTAAAATAAAGTGGAAATGAGAACTAATGCTTCTAACATGATTTTTAAAACAAAACTGCAAATTTTGTTATTTTTTTACAAGCTTTTTATTATTATTTTTTTTAATCCATGGTATTTTGCCATCTTTTAAAGCTTCAACTCAACTACGACCTTGGAAATCTCATAATACATATTCTCCAAGCAAGAAATCTTGTACCTCGAGACAACAATGGTTATTCTGACCCTTTTGTTAAAGTGTACCTACTCCCAGGTCGAGGGTGAGTAAAGCAATGGCTTCCCAGGGTTCCATCCATGGTATAAAACACTGTGATAAATCCCCACGCTTTGCCTGGCTATCTTTCCTCTTGTTTTCTTCACACAGCCTATGTGTTTGTCTCTAATGAGTACAGGAAACGGATTCAAACGTTTTAGAGTGAACTGAAGAATTCTAGGCAAAGCAGCTCTCATGATAACCAGCCTCTGGGAGAGGGGGATTAGCGTTTTGGTCCTGGAAACCACTTCTGTGGTGACGACATGGCCTGGATTCCTGCAGGAGAATCAACAGTACAAAGCGAAACAAGTAGTTTCTATTCCCCAATGGATCTGAGAAGCCACTGTTCACACTTTGGTTATTTTTACAGGCATAAACATTATCCCATATGTAAAGTGACTTCTTGGTATATTCCCAAGTATACCAAGTATGTGCAACTTCAAAAAAGAATCAAACGATTTGAGATGTTGACTTTAATAAGTCGATGAAAAGTGTATCTTTGAATATCATATGGGAAGCATAAATTGTGATAAGTACATTTTTTGGAGAGATTTAATTTTCACATTATTAAAGTTGATGGGTAGATGCTGGTGGTACATAAATCAGTGCTCAAAATTAGTTCTGAAACATTATTTGAACTCTGCAGATTGGAATGCTCTATCTGAATGGATTGAATTATCTGCATTAATGTGATTAAGTTATAAATAATTAACAAATGAAGGTTTAACAAAAAGAATTCTGATTTGGTAATTGGAAGAATTTTCTTTTAATTTATTTGTATTTCACCTTGTGGACTGATATTTGGATATTCATTTTTACCTGGAGATTTCGCAGTACTGCTCAGAAGTAGAGAATGACACAGCTATAATGACCCCACCATGAGCCCATCACTTGGCTTCAACAGCTGCCACTCCAACAGCACGTTCGACTTTTGTCCCAGCTGTGGTAACATTTTATAAAAGGCATTTCAGTATATATTTTTTTCAAGATACGGTTTTTAATTAATCCTAATACCATGCATGAATATGATCGTTTCTAAATTTTACCGTCTAAATTGCCTTGAAGTACCTTCTGCTTAGCTTCATTACCTAATTGTTAGTTACAGATGATGGTACTCATCAATAGCAAATTGCATATTCTTTTCAAATACATCGAGAGCATTCGCCAAAATAGAGACTGTGTTTCAGGCCACCAATCAAACCTCAACAAATATTAACAGCATTGAAATCATATCAAGTGAGTTCTGTGACTGCAGTTCGCTTGCTTGAAAGGGAATCAGATTAGAGCCACAGAGAGCGTTGGAATTTGTTGTTTACCAATTGCCTCAGGAAAGGCAGATCACCAATTTCTTTGAGATCCCGTTTCCTTGACGATGTTGAGAGAGCCAAGTGGGCAGAGCCATAATTTTTACTTTATCAGAGGGACCAAGTTAGATAACACGCAGCAAATAATCTTAAAATTACCAGTAATTCAGAGCCTTTCATGTTGTCCTGTTTAGAAACCTAGACTCGTGGGGACGGCTCCTCTCACTTTAATGTGTTGCACGGTTTTCGTACCCCTCAGTAGCTTTACAAATAGTTTAAACTCTAGTTGCATAGCTCAAGCAAAGGGGACGTTTTATGTGATGCTAGTTGATTTGCCTTTTTATACCACACAGTTCCTAATTTTATACCACACAGTTCCTAATTTGCATCTGATCTTCAGGTAAGTATGCCAAACACAGCAACAAACCAATGACTTCCCTTCAGACTTTGGTTGACATTGCTAGGCCTTCCGTGTTCCTGAATGGCAGTTTTAAGAGACAAGGGGAAATCGCTGCCAGCATTATATCTCTAGCTGGTAATTGCTGCTGAATGAATAATTCGTGTTGTCTGCTTTCTGCCGTCTCCAGTAATATCATCGAGTCCCCTTTATGCTATAGGGAGTATCTCTTGTTTATTCCAAGTTACATTTCAGTTAGTTATTGGAGACTCCAGAAAAAGGGGAGCAGGTAACACACATCTATCAATCCATTCAGGGAATGCTAGGGACACAGGAAACTAGAGCGTGAAGACCCCAGCAAAACATATGCTTAAGTAATTTGGCAAATAAAATATTTCTGATTGGGCGGGACCTAGCTCAAAGACTGTTAATATGTTACTCCTATTCAGTTCTGCCTTCTTTTAACAAATCCAGAAGTATTCAAAGTCTTGAGGTTGATTCTACTTGGAAGGCATTGTTTTTGTTGTAGTTCAAAGATTATTTTCTCTATCTTGTGTCATTTACATGTAATGGTGTAGTGCCTCTAAGAATTATTCTCCAATTTTCATCCTTGCTTTTTGTTCCTAACTTTGTTCTCCCTGTCTTTCCTACTTGCCTGTTTTAATCCTCACTTTCGCTCTTGGAACCAATGCAGTCAAGTCATGGTTGTCCAGAATGCAAGGTAGAGTTTCCTTTCAGTATCAAACCTCCCTGTTGTGTTTAGAGTCACACTTTTGTATGTTTATGTACATTTATCTAAACGGTAACTTAGGCAATCATTTGTTTTTCTACGCATTTGGTATCTGTTGAGTTATGGCTTCAGAAACTATTCTGACAGTTATTTTTAATAGTTTTCGTAAACGTGTGCAGTAAGCCACGGAAAAGTAGAAACTATTAAAAGCACAGAGAAGCAAATAAGGACACGCCACCTTGAAATTAGAGATATCTGGATTTTATTTACAATCTTTCTACTATAATTCCTTTAGCTTCTCATGTGGTAATTAGGACTTAATTTGTCCTGAGCCTTCTATTACAAGTGGAAATATCTGTAATCACATTTCTCAAGGAATGAACTCATCTTGTGGGTTTCAGGAGTCTATTCTTTTCCCTTACTTGACCATGATATTGAATCTTTCTCTTGCCTTTACACCTTCTGCGGTATAATGTTATGGCTGTGCAATCATAGGATGCCATAACCTACTTGCTAATGTAGGTTACAATGGCATAACAGAATCCTTTTTTGTTTGTTTGTTTGTTTCCAAAAATAGAAAGCTATTTTCTGATAGAATTACAAGCACGCTCCATCAAATGCAGCATTTGGCTGGGAAAGCAAATTGAATGCCAGCTTCAGCAACAGGATGATACAGATTTTCACCCCACCTAGAATGTCGTAAGGGCATGCAATTCACTTTCATCTGTAGCATTAAAGTTTGACCTCAACATTAGCGCTGACAGAGTATTGTCTCAAAGAAATGGTTTCTAATGTTTTTAAGATACACTTGTTGAAATATTACAAATAGGATTCATCACTATAAATTTTCTGACACCGAGAAATTTTCCACTTCCTTGAAACCCTAATTATGACAAAGAGTATATAGCAGGTTCCTTCCACCAGTGGGCATAATTCAGGTCTCCTGAGCTGGATATGTGAAATTAGTTCTGTTTCAAAGAGATAATGACATTTGAAGACACACATTGTCCATCACGTTGTTCCAAATCTTCCTTTTTTCATCTCGAGAATTGGAGCATGATTATAAGAATGATATTATATTTAAACCTAGAAGCATCAGTTTTGCAAATGTAGTTAATGTTCGAAAGAATCGGGGATGTCTTGCATGGCTATTCAGAACCAAACGTCATTTTCTTATCATGTCTTTCATCTAAAGGTCACTTTTATCAACCCTTGAAGATTGTCAGTGTGAAACGGAATTTATAGTAGCAAGGTACTGATGGAGTAACTTAGGCTGTGGGAGGCAGTAAGCTGATAAGAACTTGGGTTCTTTTCAATTCAGTTCCGTGACTTAGAAGATAGGAAATTTCTTTGAAATATTTCCTAGTCAGCTCAACTAGGAATCATAATAGCTCCCTTCCCTAGATTATTTTGAAAAATATAAAATGATACATCAACAGTGATAAGGATAATGACAGGCATATGTAAGGTTTCATATGTAAATGAAAGTTGGTATTATTATTGCTGATGATATTTATAACACTTTTCATGTAACTCTGGCTAACTATGCCTGCCTATATGTAATGTACAAACATATGCATACCACACACGTGAAAAAGATATAGAATGCTTGAATTACCAAGTGACTTCACAGTATTATTTGCAAAATTAAAACAACTTTCATAAAAATTAAAAATGATCTTGTTTGAAAGCAAAAAGCACTGAATTACCCAAAGTCCAATTTTGGTTTTTTAGATTGTCTTTGTACTCCCCGCCCTTTGATTGATATATACACCATCTCTGAAAGACCCAGTGTCAAATTGGTCATAAGACCAGGTGAGAAACTGACAAGGAGGAGCATGAATAATGAATGAACTCAGTAGCTGTCCCTGGGTCATTAAGGACTGGATGTGAGCATAGGGGTCAGAAGCGTTCTTTCTGCTTTTCTCTCACCAAACTATTTTTCTTGGGGTTTGGCTGTACTTGAAACTTTGAAATTTTTATTTCATGATTTTAGTAACATTTTTACTTAGTCATTATGCTGGAAGGCTGATATTCCTTTCATCATTGTCATCATGTCAAACTACACCCCCCATGATACACCCAAGGCAGACACATGTGCATGCTTTTGCAACCTAACGGCCGAAAAGGATTTTGTTTGAATAGCATTTTAAAGGAAAACTAAGAACCACAAGCCTATTTCAAGAATCCACTTAGCTAGCATTTCTTTAGTGTAGTCTATATGCCAGGCATTGCAAGGTCCTAGGGTTGGAGTGGAGACCACAACCAGGATCCTTCTCTGTGGGTACACACAGAGAGAAGAGAAACTGGAGTGAAAAAAAGACAGCATTCCACAGAAAACAGAGAGCTTACACAATGGCTGTGCTGTGCATTTCTTTTGAAAAGCAAACACTCAGGTATTCTTATACACAAAAGGAATTCTAAAAGTGTGCATGGAAAATGCACATTACAAATAAACAGGGATTTCAAACCTTGTGTATCAAAATTCATTTATTTTTTTCATTCTATCTTGCCACTAATTTTTTAAAAAGATTTATTTAGTTTTAGTGTAAAGTAGATTTACGGAGAGAAGGAGAGAGAAAGATCTTCTGTCCACTGGTTCACTCCCCTGAGTGGCCGCAACAGCCAGAGCTGAACCAATCTGAAGCCAGGAGCCAGAAGTCTCCTCCAGATCTCCCACACGGGTGCAGGGTCCCAAGGCTTTGGGCCGTCCTCAACTGCTTTCCCAGTTCACAAGCAGGGAGCTGGATGGGAAGTGGAGCAGCCGGGATTAGAATCGGCGCCCACAGGGGATCCCAGGTATACAACGCGAGGAGTTCAGCCACTAGGCTACCATGGCAAGCCTGCCACTAAATTTTTGAAGTCCTCTTGCATTCTCAGAAAGAGCAGTAAAAGAAAATCAAATAAACGAATGTCTTCAATAATTTAGCTATTTCATATTCTATGAAGATAAATGAAAGGAAGAAGTTGTATTCTCTGGGTTTTTTTGTTTTGTTTTTAAATTAATATAGCAAGACATTGAGGACTGGGTTTTCTTCTGTTGATTCAGAAGGAAATAAATGAATTTTATATTATTTTCTCCGACTGACTTGAAAGCACATCTGTCTATGACAGAATGGCCAATGAAAATAAATGGAGAAAAAATCAGTAACAACTTAAAGGGGAAAATGGTATACTTTATAGATTGAGGCACTATTAGTGCCTTTTTACGACATGCAAGGTGATACTTTAATTCATGCAAATACTTAGTAAAGATCAAATCAGAGTATTAAACATTTATGATGTTTTTAGTGAGAATGCATTCTAAGTCCTCTGTCCTAACTATTGTGAGCTATCTGGTAGGCATTTGACTCATCCAGATGAATTGTCTTTTCTCGTATAGATATTAAATATATTATAATATCATTAATGCAACGTTCCTATGAGGAACTGTAGTGCAGTGTTTTCGCCAGCGCAAGGAAGGAAACGGGATGAACTTGCTCTCAGCAATGCTTTGCTCATGCACCAATGTTCCTGGTGACTTGGCCACCTTCATTTTGTAAATCTACAGATTTGAGTGCAGCTGTTAGAATTGTGTTCAATGAAAGCACAACCCATTGGACTAACACAGGATCATCAGAGCCTTTTAGTGAGAAAGAACATGTTTAAAGGAATGTCCCTCTGGCCTATTCTGGCTTATCATGAAGTCGGAGTGCAAAGAAAGCAAAGAATTTCATTCAGGTTTGCAAAGGCCAGGCAGAACTGGGGCAGCAGGTGTGTTCCTCCATCTTAAAGGCAGTGGATGCTTCTATAACCTGGACAACTGGAGAAGAAAAGGCAGTAATAAAATTAGCCTGCTAAGACCACCTCAATCTTTATGCAATTTAGATTATTCCTGAATGTATCTAGGCAAAAGTAAATATTTATAATAACCTTCCCTAATTGTTCTGTAATTATCAGGAAACATCATTCTAAATGAAAAAGTGGCTTACTCCTTTAAAAATGCATGTGCACATTATATATATTGGGTATATCATTACCTTGAGAACTTTGGATGATAAAGATGATAATATCAGGCACGCCAGCTAACACAGCCTGCAAGTAAGAAAGCAGCCACATTTTCTGATGAGCCCTCTTCAGTTGAGTTTGTAGTCAGATTTCCTGTGTTTGATTCATTTTCTTAGTTCCTGTCCGTTCCACTAAGCTTCAGTTTTTTTTTACCTAAAACAAAAACAAAAACAAATAAAAAAAAAACAAACATCCATATTCTATGTGTTTCCCCACCGCAAGTATACCTGCCTGTGTAGAAATTATCATGATAAGATTGCGACCAAAGTTTTTTTTTAACTTAAGAGGGTTCATCCTAGGTTTTCATGTCTCCCTTTACCAAAAATAAGAACAGAAAAGGCATATAGTTTACCAAAAAGCTTAAATTTTTGTTATAAAATATTTCAAACATAATGAGTAGTATGGAATACGCTGTAAAAATACTCATGTGTCTGCTTTCTGCTTTTATCAAAATTCAGCATTTTGCTATACAAATGTTTACTTCAGGTGGTTTTAATAAAAGATATTTTACAGGTACCCCTGGAAACTACTTATCTATCCACCTAATATGACCATTAAATCAAATTTGACATTAATCTTCCCCAAGTTTTCTTTTGATATTAACATAGACCAGATATATACATGTTTTTAAAAGTTATATATTGTTGCACATTATTTTGGTTTTATATTAAAAACCAATAAGCTCTTTGAATTTCTACTTTGAATGATCAAGATGCATTTAATTCATTTCAACTGATGCTCTTTCATTAAATGAATACATTCTATCCAGTCTAAATGAAGCTTTCCAAACAATTTTCTTGTTTAGAAGTTAGAGAATTTTTCCAGGGTAAAAGTGGGAAAGAAAGAAGTATATTTGTTAACTTCAACTTCACTAGATATTGACAAACTTACCTAAAAAATGTTCCATTTGTGTCGTTACTTTCAGGGGTTCAAATCCTGGCCCACTGGTCCTGCTAACAATAGCGTTCATGAGACATGACAACTGAGCTTCTTAGTCAAACTTAGCCTGAAGCTCTCAGAAATCCGAAAGCTCACACTCATTTACTTCAAGCTCTCCTTGCAGTACTGGAGGGAGTAGAGGCAGTTGGGGATATATTGTTGACACCCCTCCTTCACTGTCCCCAGAACTCGGATTGCTGGGGTGATGACATTAGGCGATGCTGGGATGTATCACCCTTGCATCTGTCTGGTCAGAGAATAAAACCAGAGAGAGAAAGGCAGTATGTGGCTCTAGGGGTCTCTAAAAGTGGGCGATGAACTGGAGTTTGACTCCCAACAGCTTTCAACCATAATGAATAGATGAATTAGTGGCTGGGGGATAAGGTCATTCTAGGTTAAGATCATCCTTGTGGCCAGGAACATGGTTCCTCTGAATGTAGCTTGGACTAGAACTACAGATTACAAGCATGTGGACCCAATTCCTTAAACACAAACCAAAGTCAGGACCTTCCGACATAGATTGTCAGGACTCTGAAGCCCATAGGGGAAATATTGCCTAGGACTCAGGACAGAAGGCTATCCAGAGAGTGTAGAAAAACATGTCAGAGAGAAAACCTTTGCCTCTGCCATTTGCTAATAGCAGACAGCGGGAGTCCAATTCCAGCCTAGACAGCTGGCTGATGTTCTCTATAGATGTTTTGCCAAGCTTAATTAGGAAAGGTTTGAGAAATAAGTTGTTTTTAAATATGTAGAATATAACTTCTAACTTGTGTAGTGAGAATAAAAAACTCAGGGATTAAATCAAATGCTCTTAGCTATAATGCATATGGAAAGATTTTTATTCAGTCTGTCAATTATAACATAAGCTATTGGCATGAGCTAAGAATATATGATTCTTTAAAACTGCCTTATAACTACATTAAATATCATCCTTGACCAAGAATGTCAGAATACACTTTAAAAATTAGGTAATGAATTTCAGCCATAGCAACAGTCATTCTTCAACCTTTTTTTTTCCCATTCAGTATAATCATTACTAATTCTTATAGAAAAACTAAGCTGAAAGTCCATTTCGCTTTCCTGACATCATTAGACACAAAACTGTTGGCCGTTAAAGATTAATTTATTGTTTAAAGGACAAGACTGATGTGACCATATAGTTCATGAATTCGCTCCCTACATTCAAGATTTCTCAAATTGAAGGTAGAATAACCACAAGGCCTTTTCATGGGGCAAAAAAAAAATCTCATGAGGAGAAATAACACTGAAGGCATCCAACATATTCCTAAATTGTTATTGTGCATTCAACCTAAAAGAAGATTTAAGGTATGATGAGGAGGAAATGATTGTTTAGTGATTTAAAATCAGATATGTTATTTAAAAACCAGCAAGTCTTTCGGTTTGTCTATGAAGTCATCAGTCAAGGTAAATATTCCAGATAACGCTTTCTTCTCTTCCACTTCAGTGCTGAATACAAGAGAAGGACTAAATATGTTCAGAAAAGTCTTAATCCTGAGTGGAACCAGACAGTGATTTACAAAAGCATTTCCATGGAGCAGGTGCGTGGTCATTCCGTTTTTAGACACTGTATGAAGCTAACAGAAGTCTGCCTGTGGTTAAATTATTGGCACTTGGCATCTGAAGCAATTTTGCTAAACAAATCAAATGAAGCTGGTAAAACACATGCCAAAAATAGTAGCCAGGATAAGGTGTTTAGCCCAACAATTAAAGGCTCCTTGAGATATCCCATTTTTTTTTTTTTTTTAGTTTAAATTGAAGGTTAAGAATCTGGCAATATGTGGCTAAACCTTATAGAGAATGATGGCTTGTATGAAAAATTACCACTATCAGCCTGTCAATGCAAAAATTACATCAATATGTTTTAGAAAAAATATGTTTTATGAGCTTTCATGATTACCAGTAACAAAATCAATAGCTGATGAGGTTGAATTCATAAAGAATACAAATAAACAGGAGGATACATACATGCTGAACAGTTTATTTTAAAATGACTTGTTTTTCAAAGTAAGGGTTTTAATTTGTCTTCTAACAGATTATGAGAAATTTGGTTATGACATTGACTATATAAATTATAATCTATGATCTTTATTTAAATCCACTTGCTATCTTTATTGGCATTTTGCAATATATAAATTTCTTGCATTTAAAAAGTATTTCTAGATTCTTCCCTTGAAATTGTGAGGTTCCTTATGTTCAAGCACTAGACTGTGAAATCATGATTGAAATTTGACAGCCTAATGACTATAAACACACATTTTTTTCCATACAAGTATTTTTCCATTATTGGAAAGCAATCATGTAAGTATGAATAAATTAGTCAATTTTAGGAGTGTAAGAAAATTCATCATGGAATAAAAAATAAGGTTAATGTCATTTTTGTTTGAACTGCAGCTGAAGAAGAAGACACTGGAGGTGACAGTTTGGGATTATGACAAATTTTCTTCCAATGACTTCCTTGGGGAGGTAAGCTGTTGGTTTCCTCTCCCGTCTGCTGCCACTGCTAGTCACCAGTAGCCTCAAGTACGGAGCAAAGCCACTTTCTCTAGCTTGCAAGACAGCCTTTATTGAGTAAAATTCTAAGGAGGTGGAGTTTATTTCCTATACCCTATGAGTAGATAAACATCAATTTGAGAAACAATTTTCACTCTGCCATTTGGTGCATTTTATAGTTACTTTGCAAGAGTAAGTATGCCGAGAGTCCAAATGAGGTTTGCATCATCAAATTTGTTATATCATAAAATTGTTGGGACTTTCCAAATATTTTAAGAAGCAACATTCAAAATAGAATAACATCATTTTATATAGACTTGGAGGAAACCGAAATAACCTATTCATGAAATCCATAAACTGCTCTTTGCTTAAAGTAGAAGTTATAGAACAAATATAAAAAACAAATTTTCAGTCCCAGCGCAATGGGTCAGTGGCTAAAACCTGGCCTCGCAACTGCCATGATCCAATATGAGTGCCAGTTCATGTCATGACTGCTCCAGTTCCCATCCAGCACATTCTCTGGGAAACTGGGATATGGCCCAAACCGTTGGGACTCTGGGGACTCTGCACCCTTCTTCCCAGAAGAAGCTCCTGGTTCCTGGCTTCAGATTGACTCCGCTGCAGCCATTGTGGTCATTTTGGGAGTGAAACAAAGGACAGAAAATCTTTCTCTGTCTCTCTTTCTCTCTGTAGATTTTATTTCTTTGAGAAAAAAAAAAATCCACCATCCCAAGGATAATGAACTCATAAAAAATAATTTTTTACTGGGACATCTATAAAATTGGATATTATTTTTTTATCACTTATATAATAAGTGATAACAAAGCCGACTTTGGTTCTTAAATTAGTAACTGCAAAAATTTGGCTTTATGGAAAGATTGACATGCCGTACCATCTACTCGCATGACATCTAGATTATTCTGTTAATAATGAAGGCATCGTTTGTTTCCTATTTTTAAATTTACTTTAGATGAGTCAAGTCTTTTCCCTTGATTATTGAATGCACCTGCTCTATTTTCCCGCCACTATGGTTCTTTCAGTTTTTGTTTGTTGAACTCTTTACCTGGTACCAATAAGCCTTTGACTATAATGTTTATTAAAAAATGTTTTATGTCCGGCCTGGCACAGTAGTCTAGTGGCTGAAATGCTCACTTTGCATGCGCCAGGATCCCATATGGGCGCCAATGCATGTACCGGTAGCCTGGATTGGCTCAGCTCCAGCCATTGTAGCCACTTGGGGAGTGAATCAGCAGATGGAAGTTCTTCTCTCTCACTCTTCCTTTCTGTATTTCTAACTTTCCAATAAAAATAAATAAATCTTAAAAAAAATCGTCATACGGTTCAGTTAAATGAAACATTTACTAAACATCTAATATGTACATTGTGTCCAATTTCATGGGCGAAGAAAAATCGGGAAGACAGTGTCATTCTCCTTAAGGATCATATTGGATACTTTGATGCATATCCCTTCCTGAATAGATTTTAAATCACTGAAAAAAAGTGATGTCTGAATTAAAGCTTAATCCATGCATTTAATGGATCTGTTGCACTTTTTGCCCAGGTATTGATTGACTTAGCCAGCACATCTCACCTCGATAACACTCCCAGGTGGTATGCTCTCAAAGAGCAAACGGAAAGCATTGATCATGGCAGGTCCCACAGCGGTCAGAGCAGCCAGCAGTCGCCGAAGCCATCTGTCATCAAGAGTAGAAGCCACGGGGTCTTCCCTGACCCATCCAAAGGTAGGAAAGGTGTTTTGTCCGTTTCCTCACTCAGTGTCTTCTTCCAGGTGGGGATTTAACACAGACCCTGAAAGAACAGCCTGGAGAATGGAGGAGCTTGTGGAACATGCATTTGTGTTTTTCATGGAGAACAAATTAAAATCACCAATTAATTTATTGATCAGACGTAACCGTCAATATCACTTAGGTTTACTGCTTCTTACAGTTTGACTCTGATTTTTTAATACGGTCCTCTACCGATAAGTCTCATTGAGCGTCCTGGTTTTTACTTTTATCGAGAATGGCTTCTCAGTGTCAAAACAACGGCTATGTGCAATTTGCTTCTCTTTTGAAGTATTTAGTTCGTGTTAACTTTTTCGTTGTTACTGTTTCCTAGATGTTGGAGTCAAGGAAGTGCTTTAGGAATTATTGCGATTGTTTAAATAGCAGTGTCAAAAATTTGCCTGGCAAGGTAAAAAGCATTTTATTTGAAGGAACTTTTGCTTTGGGAAGTTCCTTGCCAATTTTCCTACAAGTACCATTAATCTACATCCGAAACAGTTACTGCCTGCAAGAGATAACCATATGTTTTCTCCTCTAGACATATTGAAATATTTATACATGTTAAGTATAGGATTAGATTGAACTACAGTGTTGCTTCCTTGCCTCCTCTTCTAAGAAAATACATCAAAATGAAATGTGTTCTGCTGTGCGTAAGAAGGTAAGTGGGTTGCAAGTGTAGGTGTTCTAGGAGATGAAAAAATAAAGCCACGTCCAATAGGCTCGGGAAATGAGATGGTGAACTATTGGCTAGAAAAGGGGACATTTATTATCATTTATGTCATTGTTTAATACTTTTGATTTGAGAGGCAAATCACAGAAAGAAGAAGAAGAGAGTGCAAGACAAAGAGGCATCTGTGTGTGTGTTCCCTTACGCTCGTTTACCCCCCAGTGCCCACACGGACCAAGTCTGGGTGAAGCCAAAACTGAAAGCCAGGAATTACATACAAGTCTTCTACCTGGGTGGCAGAAAGCTGGTCTCAGAATCAGGAACCAGACATCAAAACTAGCCAGTCCAGTGCGGGATACTGGCGTCATCACTGGGCCAACCACTAGTCCCTATCTATGAATGAGTTTGCAGATCACTTCTGGATTCAACGGAACCTCCCAGTGCCACCCTACTTAACGCACCGTGAGATGGGTAGCTTAAGATCTCCCTGTGACACTTAAAAAAACCATGTGAGCTACATATTCTCTAACGGTGCTTGAAGCAATGACTCTACAATCTTCATGTTTAATATGCCGTATGTTAAAGTGACTCGCACCACTTCATCCCAGAATGCATTGTCTTTGCTTAAAACTCCTGTAGCAATGTAGGCTCGTGGCCTCTTTCCTGAGCTCTGTTAGAATTGTCAACATTGCTTGGTGAAACCAGAAATTGATAGGTTCGTTGCTTAGCTGCTAGCTGGAACATACTTTTTTTTTTTTTACAAACGTATGTCTTGTCAAAACTGTTGCCTCTTTGCCTTTTTTTCCCAACCATGATTCCCAAATATATAATTATATTACTTCATGGGGAGCAGTTGCATTAATAAGCTATAGACAGAACGTTGTTGCAAATTTGTGTATGCTTTCCAATGATGTGCATGTCAACCTTTTGCAGTGGGAGCGATCCTAATTCACATTTTACACCTTTTGTAACCAGACATGCAGGTTCCCACCATTGAGAAATCTCACAGTAGTCCTGGGAGCTCCAAGTCTTCCTCTGAAGGCCATCTCCGCTCTCACGGACCATCCCGCAGTCAAAGCAAGACCAGTGTCACCCAGACCCACCTGGAAGACGCAGGGGCTGCCATAGCCGCTGCAGAAGCCGCCGTGCAACAACTCCGCATTCAACCAAGTAAAAGACGCAAATAACTTCCTCAGCATGGCAGCTTAACGTTCATCTGTTGCCTTTCTTTCCTGCTGTCCTTCCTTTGCATTCTCTGTTTGGCATCTTTCGTTCACGTTGTTCTCTGTCCTTTTTGTCCGTGTACGAACGGTTTCAATACACGCGTATGCTCTTCCTCATTTATTTATTTGTTTCTTTGTTTACGTAGACTGCAATAAAACTGGCTGTTTCTCCTTTGTTTCCACCCTCCTTCCAACCTGGCTCATATTATTTGATAGCTGTGTCTATGATGTTTGCAGGCAAAGCAATGTTGTACGTCCTTTTTGTGTGTGTGTGCTTCAATATTTTAGGATTATGGGAATTGTAAGCACAAATGGCTGCCAACGCCCCACATGTTGCAACAAGTACATACACACACACACACACACACACACACACACACACACACACACACACAGAAGTATTTAGAGCACAGTAGAGATTAGACACCCAAAAATACTCCAAAATTTTAGGCATAAGGGTAATGTAACTTATAGTGACATAGTGGAAAAAGATATCTTAAGCCCTTGTTAAGATCACTAGCAAATTATGTATGTGAAACACTGTAGATTCCCATGGGTAGAGCATCCTGGTATTTTGAAAATTCTGTGAAGTAAATCACAGTTCTTATCATCTCAAGAGACACACAATATTGATATATGCATAAGTATATGCGACGAGGTCATGTAACGAACCTCATTAAGGAGCACAATTGGGTCCATTCTCTTGGATGGCACTTTGTAGCAAACAGGTAATTTGCAGGTAATTCTTTTCTTATCCCTTGGAAATCAAGATGTGCTATAGATATATCAACATATAACAGTTCATATGCTTCACTGCTGTGTTATTATTTCATTGGTGAAACTGTAGCCAGTCGATATCATCATGTACAAACTTAATAAATTTGAAAAGTACAGATGCACTCTGAACGTGTAAGAGGTATGATTAGGTAGGTGGCAGAGAGAGAGGGTTGCTCTCCTCATCTCCCCAGTGGTCATTTCCAAAGAAACAGCCAGTTTTAAACCCCTTTAGTGCTCTGCATGTGATGTCATCTTGGCATTTGAGAACACAACTTATTTTGAATAGAGCCAAAGAATCCTTCTGTTTGCATGACTATCATTGAAGCTGGTTCCATCTGAGGATACATCCTCTGGGTTTCCATTTCATCCACACTGCCACAGCAGCACATAAAAGCGGTCAGTCTGATCAGGCCAGGAAGCAGCACAGACACAGCATAGCAGGAGTCCTCTCCATTCAAAGAACTCTGTCTGATCATCTGCCTCCACCAGCCAATGGCAATCAAGACCAAAGCCAGCTAGCCCTCAGGAAGGTGCTGTCTGATGGGCCAGCCAAGCCAGAAGGAGGTGAGCAGAAAGACCCCGTTCAAAGCACACAGCAAGAACATTCCCCGCATTTAAAGCTCTCTCATCTTTAACTCTTAGCAATTGTCTGATAGGATGTGTTTATCCACTTTTTAATGTGCTTTTGTGGGCATGGCACTTTAGGAGTTCATCAACACCGTGTAAGTCTCGAGATCAATCCCGTAACCTATTGATGACAGTGATTTGTATTTTTCTATGCATCGGCATCCCTTGACTTTTGTTGGGACGAGATTAACAGAATTCATACTGCAGAATGGAATGCATGTGACTAACCTCATTTGTTCAAGCATGACTCTAAATATGTGGCATTGTTATAAAAGTTTAACTTCCTTACATTTCCAATCAGCGTGCCAGTTGGAATATAGATCAGTCTGTGTTACATTTTATTTTACGTGTAACTTTAAAAAAAAAATTCAGTGGATTTTGGCAATTTTTAGAGGAAAGTAAAGGAAAAAATTGTTAATGCGCCCATTCACCCTCACATGGTGAAAACTGTCTCTTGATCCTGCAAGCAGACATTTTCCACTCGTGTTCCATAGTTGTTAAGTGTAACAGACGTGTTGGGCATGTGACTATTCAAGTGCCTGTGTAATAAATAAAGTATCTTTATTTCATTCATAAACTCCTGGGTTCTGAGCCATTGTTATATGATTCAGTTCAAAACGAGTGTGTCAGTTTTTTTATTTCTCATTCGATGCCTTGTAGTTGAGTCGAATTATTGCTCCAGTGGTAGGAAGAGCTGCAATGATAGAACATTTGCGAGCGGAACAAAGCCCATGTTGGATTCGTTAAAAGATAGATGGAAAATTATTACCAAATAAAACCATTAAAATGTAAATAAATAATGGGATTGGGCGGCCATAGGGAACACTTCCTTTGTCTCTTCCATTCCTTATATAGTTTGTAATCTTTTCAGATTTCTGGATGGGGGAAGTTAGAATGTGTACCCCTTTCCTTTGGAGAACACTCTTAACCTTGATCCCATAGAAATTTTCAGAAAACAGAGCACACTTATATCTGTTCTAAACAAGTCCCAAGCTTTTGTGGGGTTCCTGCCCCCCCAAAAATATGCCCCTGGTATTAAAAAGAATCCAGCAGGATAGTAATAAATAAAAATTAATTATAGTAAAAGTAATTACAGTAATAAATCATTGAAACACATACAAATTTTCTTTAAAAATAAAAATAGCTGCTCGGTGCCTTAAATATGATCCTGCCCTAAAATACTTGTTTTCATTATTCTGTGTTTACAACCAGATTAAGCCTATTCTTATTATCAAGCCTGTGCTTTCCTATTGGAAACATGTAATGCAAGCATTTGCTTCTTTCAATGAATCAGGGATTTGGAAGGTGACGGTGTCTTTAACAGTAGACTGCAGACCACTGAGCTGTCTCTCCTATTAGCCATGCAATGAAGGAAGAAAAGCACTTAGGAGTTAGCCCAATGCTCTGTGTGATTGCCTACCCAGTTTACACCTTATCGCCAAAGTACAACTGCCTTTTTCCTGTTAGACTTACTCGTGCTTTTTGAAGAATATTAATATTCCACCTCTCATCTCTTCTTCCATCCAGTAATTTCTATTAATTTCTTCATGTGACTCAATCTCTTCCCTGAAATATTTCATGAATTCTATACGGTAGATTCCTCAAATTCTTGCCTTATTTCACATCTTATTGTCTAATAATCATGATTTAAGTATTACTCTATAATACTTTACCTAGATGTAGTTCCTAAGATTTGTGTTAAAATTCTTTATTTTTTTCTAATAAATATTCTTAGATATTTAAAGGGCTATGATAGAATTGTCACTCTTTGCTAAAATCACAATCAAAAGGAAGCCACTGTAATTGAGCATGATTTTGTTGTTGCTGTTGTTGACTTTTACTGTTGGCTGACCAGTGCTCAATTTTCTAAGTATATTATTTTCCTATTACACTGGTAATTAAATACAGTAAGTTGATAAACATCTAATCACAAACATGATAGAGGATTACAATGTATGTGAAATGCAAAGCAAATCTGTTGAAAGCATGAGAGGAGAAACTGGTTAGAGATGGCACATCCTAGGTCATTAACTGCAGAAGTACTAGGAATAAGTTAACTCTTTGGATAAGAGTTTTTGCGTTTCACACTTCACCATGGAGCTATTGTAGTCTCATCTGCTTTCTGAAAAGGAACACTCAGCATTCAAGTAGTTCTTAGGTTGCTTTAAGTCTTTGTCACCCATTTCCTCATTTTATCACATCCCTGTAGAACAAGATAGTCATTCAGATAGCCACTCCTGTATATGGGTGAGCAATCAAACAGTTGACGGTTGGATGACAAGAAAATATAGAACTAGCAAATTTCAAAACCTTTTAGCAGAGTCTTATCTGTGATTCCTAACCCTTCTCCTTCATTTTATTCTTATTATTTTATTTTTAAAATTTGCTTCAATAAAAACAACTGCTTTTACTTAGTGCCTACTTCACACTAAGAGTTTGACAAATCGTTTGAGGTGGCTATATAGTTTGGCTTTTACCTATAAGATCTTTCTTTCAGAAAGCCAGTGATTTGAGATGAAGAAAAACCATCATGAGTTTTCAGTGCAATGCTGGGCAGAGAGAGCCCTGTGCAAGTCTGTCTGGATATCTGTAGGCGTTTCTATCAAGGATAGCAAACTGGTCCCTCCAGGACTATATGTGTATTTTTTTTCCTTAAGCGTTTCAGCAGATTTCAGCTTGAATGGACATAAAATGTGGATCAAGCAGGAGTTATAGAGAGAGTCAGCAAAAGTTTTTTTCTCCCTCTGGGGTTGAGTTGCATGCTAGGGAATCTGAACAGAAACAGGAGACAGGATGTTCAAATCATCCTGATACCTAAATAATTCTCCCTTTGTATTTGTAAATTCCTGGAATTTTTCTTTTCCAGGACAAGTTGGGTTGGTTGAAACTGGGCTCTTTTATTTCAGATAATGACACCAGCCACTGAAATCATGTTGCTCTTTGTTTAAAGTTATTTTAAAGCAATATTCAAGCCAAAAACAAATGAAAGCTCTTTTTAAACTTCCAAATTAGGTTCGCTAACTTAAATTTCATGTGTAGTTTGGAAATTCCTGATATGTTGTTTAATGCCACAAATTCAGGCATGAGCGTCAGATTCAGAAACTTGTAACGAGAGGGCAGATAAAAATACTTATCACCCTGGGGGCAGAGGGAGGGTTGGGACAGACTGGAGAGGGTGGGTGATGACAGAATGAATCAGTAAGCTACATGAAGGAATTGCGCTTATGAGTTCCTCAAGTTACTTCCACAGAGCGTTTGCTGTGCTGGGAACTATTTTCAATATCGCCCATTTGCAGCACCTAACAAGAGTTCCTCGTGCATGTATTGCCTTGCAAAACTTCACTCTGTGGGAGCGGCTGTCCTGGGCAAGTGGCAGTTTGGGACTGAGCTGGGAGTGGCTGGATTATTGGGAGTGGGGAAATGGTTGGATATCAAAAATTATAGCAAATCAGTGTCTTCTTTTGATCGAAGAATATGATCACTTCTGGTTAGAGAGGTTCTGTTTTTGTTTTTGTGTTTGCATGAAGATATTAGCCTTCTTTC